TACACTAGGCACAAATGCTTAGCAGTCACCCAGAAACCATGAGCACTAAGTCAATGTTGATTAACCAGTTCCCATTCAATAAACCAATGTTATCATGAAGCAGGTGAACTATTTTGGAATCCCTGGGTAGATAGCTCCTCTAAAAATTGGTCTCTGTGTGTTAACGGACTAAAATTCAGTTGCACTCTTTGTTTTTGTAAAAATTGATGCAAGAGGCATGAGTCTGCCTTTCCTTCCTACCTTCATTCCTTCTTCCGTCCTTCCCCTCTGTTGGTGTTTTCTAAATATCTCACGTGTGTTGGCTAGAACTTACTCTGAATTCACTAACTTGTACAGATGCAGCAATTTTTCAATTTAGAACTCATAATATGCATATATGCAAATTCCTAGATATCTGAAAATCATGTCAATTAGCAAGACAAGGTGGGATAGGTAATATCTTTTTATTGCAATGGTTCTCAATCAAGGGTCTACAGTCCCCTGGGGGCTATGAGCAGGTTTCAGGAGAGCCACCAAATTTAACCAGAGAGCAGGGACAGCATTGGACTTGCTGGCGCCTGAGGCAGAAAGCTGAAGCCTGAGCTACTTACCCCCTGTGGCAAGGAGCCCCAGGCAGTGGCCCAGCTTGCTAATCCCTGTTCCTAACTCTGGCTTTTAATCTACTGCCGTGGTGTCAACCAGTTTTGAAGCAATAGCAAGTAGTGGCTGTTGCTATAGTGAATTAGCCACACACAACCAGCCAAATAGTCACATGTGACTAGTGGGTGGCGTGTTGGACATCACGGAGCAGAAAAACAGTTGTGATGCAGGTGAGTTGTTACAGCATGTGAGGGGGCCTCAAAGAAAAAGACTGAGAAATCCCTGTTTTATTGGTGAGAGTGAAAAGCTTTTGACCGAGCTCTTCTGCAGTTTTGGAAATTCCAGATAAAAAGATATTAACTTGCTCAGTCTCTGTAATATCCTGGGACCAATATGGCCAAAACAACACAGTTACGTCACTTGAAAGATAAATTTCCTTAGACTTGCATCTTTCACGTTACTACGTCACACATCTGTCTATTTGGTAGTTATGTAAATAGTCATAAAAAATAGCAAATGGGTCTCAATTCAGTAAATCACAACTATTGCAAAGTATGGAGACTCTCTCTGCATACAGAAATCTTTATACTACAGAATTTGTATAAAAAGATGCTCCTCCCCATTTAAATCTATAGGACCATTTTGAAATTATACTTGTACACAAATTTATAAAATTAAAAATACACAACCAATCAATAAGTCCCGTTGTACCCTGATATGGGAACAAAGCTGGCCTTGAAACACTTGAAAGAAGCAGCCAACAAACAACAAGGTAGAAAGGAAACCCCCTCAAAGAATGGAAACCCCCCCAAAGAAAAGTTTAGTATAAATGTTTTGGTGTCCTCAAATACTCAGTATTTACACATGTTCCTTTGCAACAGCTACTGCCTGCTGACATTGCCTAAAACGTGCAAAGATTTTTGTTTTTGATACCTCAGGAAAAGAGCCCTGTGCTTTCCAAGACTATACCCTTTTGCTGATGTGCAATATTATCCTACTCTATCAGTGTGCTCCGGAGAGGCTACCCTGCTAGTGGCAGATAAATTGGAGCTGGACGGCCTGTTCCTGAATGGTGCTGAGCACCTGCAACTTCTATTGAAATGTTACTTCCAGTCTCTCTGTAGTTATCCCTAAATGGGGAAATCTCTTTTACTCTCCCTCTGATTACTGTGAAATCATTTTGGGGCATATTTATCACCTTATATTGTAGAAGTCTTTAATGAGGCACCAAACAAGGTATATAATAACAGGTAGAGTGGGGTTTTCCATACTCCGTCCCACTGAATTTCTCTACTACAGGCAGTCCCCGACTTACGCGGATCCGAGTTACGTCGGATCCGCACTTACGAACGGAGCTTTCTCGCCCCGGAAGTCGGGGCGAGAAAGCCCCGTTCGTAAGCTGCTCCGGTGCCCCTGGTCTGCTGGAGACCGTCTCCAGCAGACCTAACAGGTAGAGTGGGGTTTTCCATACTCCGTCCCACTGAATTTCTCTACTACAGGCAGTCCCCGACTTACGCGGATCCGAGTTACGTCGGATCCGCACTTACGAACGGAGCTTTCTCGCCCCGGAAGTCGGGGCGAGAAAGCCCCGTTCGTAAGCTGCTCCGGTGCCCCTGGTCTGCTGGAGACCGTCTCCAGCAGACCATTACTGCTGACACCAGCCCTGCTGGTCCACGGCGCTGCTTTGGTTGGGGGGAAGAGGAGAGGCAGGGAGAGGACAGCGCAAGAGAGGGAAGAGTAGAGCAGAGGTGAAGAGGAATGGTCCTGACCCTTCCCTGTGTTGGGGGAGGAGTTGCATGGCTGGTGGTCCCCCAGATGGCCTCTGACCATTCCCCTGTGGTAGAACCGCATGTGAGCACATGACCAGAGCTTCTCTGAGCTGCCATTTCCCCAGCCAGAGGGAGTAGGGGATGACATCAGAATGAAGAACCACTTCCTCTCCCCTGCTAGGCAGAGCCCGTGGGCCCGATGCAGCCTGTAACTTGCATTGATCCAGCCTGTTACGCTTGGGATTCCGGACTCCATAGCAGGACAAGCCAGCTCTGGCTTGCTCTGTTGTGGGAAGAGAGAGCCCAAGCCTCGTGGGCCGGATCAAGACATGCCGCATGCTGGGCCATAGGTCCCCATCCCTTTAACTAGATACAAATTTAATCACTAGCAGAACTTAAAATTATCGATAAGGTGAACTGATTTCGAAAGAACATGGTTTTCAAAGAAGAATAAATAAATTAAAACTAAATAAATATTTAGCTACCAGATTGCAGAAAATATCTCAAAAGTAAGTGACATGTTATTGCATATACAGGCAGTCCCCGACTTACGCGGATCCGACTTACGTCGGATCCGCACTTACGAACGGGGCTTTCTCGCTGCTCCGGTGCCAGCAGAGTTGCTCTGCCCCGGGCTTCCTGGAATCAGCTGCTGATCAGTTTCAGCAGCAGCTGACTTGGGGACGCCTGGGGTTCTTAAGTTGATTCTGTATGTAAGTCAGAACTGGCGGTCAGTTTCAGCAGTGTCTGAATCTGGACGCCAGTTCCGACTTACATACAGATTCAACTTAAGAACAAACCTACAGTCCCTATCTTGTACGTAACCCGGGGACTGCCTGTAATTGTGTTTCTAAGTCAGTTTGGGATTTTTGAAAATCCCAATAAATAAACAAAATGAAGTGACAGTAGATTTCACACCTTAAATGTGAACTTTTTACCATCTGAGACAAGTGTAAGGATATGTGTTTTCTTCTACAACAGCAAAAGACTTTCAACCCACATTCTCTACTATGCTTAATTTTTGCTTGGCACAAAAAGCATGTGGGGTTATCAGAGAGCCTGAAACAGCACTCTTGATTATCCTAGTATAGCTGTGCTGAGTCACCATGTAGGTAAAATATTTTAGTTGCTTATAGTCCCAAAAGAATCACATGGTAGCTGTGTCATATCTTGTATCTCTGTGCTGAGCTGGCTAGACAGTGGCAAGGGGCAACCTAAGCTAGTGAGCGGGCTACGAGTGGTCCTCCTTTGTCTCAGTGTGCTGCAAGATTGTCATAACTGAGACGGTTTCCTCCTGCATACTTAGAATTTGTGGGGTATTCCAGTTGAACCATAACAGCATTTTCATTGGATGCAGAGGGAGTGAACATCTCTCACATCAATATTATGTACAATCAGCAGACACCTCACTATGCGTGTCCTTGCTTTACATGTGTGCCACTTTAATAATACTGGTAAAAATATGCAGACAAAAACCAGTAGAATCCGGCAGCCCTACATGTGGGCAACACTAAACAGAATGTCGCATGGGCCACACAGAGAACCCCAATGGGTCACAGGTTGCCCACCTTTTCTATACAGCCACTGATAACTACAAGGCCCCCATGCTGGAGGAGTTCTCAGCTAGAAGCATCTGGGTTCTTTTGAGCACCTTTTTCCCACTTAAGTGGTGCAAAGGGGCCAGAATGAATGCAATGAAAATCTGGCCCTGTGAATACCTAAACATGTTAGGCTTTAGGTGCTAATGATACCATCTGGGGAAGTGCTGCAGGGAAAATGCAGAATCTTGAACTGAAGTTTTAGCAAGCGAGAGATTCACTGAGGTTTTTTGTTCTATTTTGTTTTGTTAAAATTCCTGCATATTTCAGAAATATTTTTTGTAATTCAGTACTACATATAATTAGAGATGAGCCTGAATTTTTGGACTGATTCAAATTCTGCCACTCAGACCCAGTGTAATCTGATTTAGAAACTTATACATTTTTTTTATTTTAGACTTTTCAATTCTGTGATATGAATTTTGTCAACCTCATCAGTATGTTAATTGCATATATAATTTTGTTCTTTTTTGTTGTTTTGTTTTTGTGTATTTTTTATTTCTTCAAAGCTAGTTCAGGAATTTATAATGTATATTTCAAATTTTTTTATTTGGGAAATTAAAAAAAGCGATCTGTTTTAGATCTAAGTGCACTCTTAATAGAAATACAGTATTTTCTGCTAAAAAATTAAACCACTTTTTAGCTATAACACACATAAGACCCACTATTGTATATTTTGGGTCTTCCTCAACTCTTCTTTTGATATGAAATCTTCTCTTTTGTCTTATTTGCAGTTCAAGATGTCAAATGCTTAAAAAGTTTGAGTTATTTTACTGTACTTAGGACTAGTGTGTCAATGGCTATTTCTTGAACTGTATTTTTCCTTTATATGCAGAAGATGATCTATTAGAAAATCTTGCATAATATCTTGGAGAAAATATTTGTTTTGTTTTTTTTTTAAGCGTAGAGGGCAACAGTTTGGTTAAAAAGATTCAAACTAACTCATGGTTTACCTAATCTTGACTTCTAGGTGGTGAGTTTACTCGGCAAGCTGAAGTTACCTTCCTTAGCAGTAATGAGAAGTTGGTTATCAAACAAAAGTTCAGTGGAATTGATGAACATGGTCATCTTACAATCAGCACTGACATGGAGGGCAAAATACCTGAGATCCCATTTGGTGCATCAGTCCACATAGAACCATACAATGAGCTCTATCACTCTTCTAGTTCTGGTAAGAGGCAATGTGATTTAATGGAGTTGATATCAACCATATTCCTCAGAACGGAAAATAAAAACCTAAAGGGAACTGCCTGTTGTAGGTTCATATCTATTTTCAGTGCAGAGTTTACTAATATATACTTGTTCTTTGGCTCTTTAGTATGTGACTGGTGTAATATATACATTACCTTTTTACTTTTTAAACATTTATTTCTAACCTTTATTTTTGAAAATTGCATTTTCTTGGTCTCTCATGTGAGATTTTTTTTTTTTTTTTAGTGGTGTGGTGTCCAACAATGTTGGATTGACAGCTCAAGAGACAGTGTAGGGGCCTTTCTTTTATCTACAAGCTGATGCAATGTAGACAGCAGCAGTACAAATCTGCACTTCTTACTAAAGTTTTTCTGATCTAGAAGGTTCAAAAGGAGAGGGTAATTTGTGTTTTTCAGCCTATTCAGTCCTCAGTCTCTTTCCTAAGACTACCATTAGCTGTGCCTGTAATTTTTTAGGCTTTTTGCAATGTGTGCAACACTCCACTAAGAACTGGATTGAGACCTATGTATCAGTTCACATTGATCACTGACCAGTTATCTGGCAGTCATAACTATCTGTCACTGGATTTGGGCAGGATACGAACGACCAACCTGGAAGCAAGAGTCTGTTTTTTCCATTTCCAATTACTTGTGCCACCCCATCTACTCTTTTTATCTTCCTCCTTCCAGAACCGCAGAAATATATGTCTGCTAAATTAGACCTTTTGATCATAAATAGCTGCTTATTTCACCAGTGACAATGACAGCCTGTTTACTTACCTTGACATTCCTTGAAGAAGCTTATTATAGCACACTTGACTTGCCTGAATAATGGACTGCCAATTATCAGGAATTCATCTTTGACACAAATTCTGCAAGCAGATCCATGAAGGTAGAGCCCTATACCCATTTAGCGCTCCACTGACTTCAGAGGGGGTTGGGTATTACAGTTCATCCAGGCAAACTTGCTTAAAGGATCACAGCCTTTGTCTGTTTTCCCCCATGCAGAAAAATACTATGGAAACTGCAAATGTGATAGTTTATTCAAGATTTTGTCAGAAAATCAAGGTAACACCTTACAATGAAAAAGAACAAATGGTTTTGATATTAGGGGCTGCTGTTCTTAGATTTTTGCACATTCAGTGGCTTGTTTTGGTGAAATACATTTCTTAAACTGAATTTTCTTATTCTTCGTATCTTACCAACTGTACACGTTTGCTAAGTTATGTTTAGATAAATACTGGAGGATCTACCTGCCATTGCTAGGGTCCTTGTGTGGGCTCGGGGCAGGAGGTGGGAGGTGCAGGAGTCAGTGCAGGCGGTGGGGAGCTCCGGGCAGAAATGGAGGGGAGGCAGGGCAGGCGGTTGTGTGTTGGGGGGCTTAGGGCAGGAGGTTGGGTTGTGAGGAGTCGCCACCAAGCTGGCCAGGTGAGAGCTCCCCAGGACTGCCTGGCATGGTGGGGGCCACACTGCCTAGCCCACCACCTCCAAACCCAGGCTGTCCTGGATGGGTGGCAGCTCCCTGGGGTGGTGGGGATTGCGCTGGCCAACCTCCTGGCTTTGGAGCCAGGGTTAGCCAGGGCAGTGAGGACCACATGGAGTGAGCAGTGGCTCCCCAGGGCTGGCTGAGGCAGAAGAAATCATGCTGCCTGGCTCACCGCCCCTGGAGCTGTGGTCGGCCGGGATGGTGGGAGCCACAGTGGCTAGCCGGCGCATCCCTGGGGCTGGCTGGGGCAGCAGGGGCCACCAAGTATGGTGGCCAGTAACAGCCAAAGCCCTGTCCTCAAGCACTCTGTTCCTGGTGCGACCACCCCCCTGTGGCCATTCGACAGCATGACCGTCTCCTGCTAGCAGGCACCTCCTTTTCCATTTGATTAGAAACAGTTGAATTCCAGTTATACCCCATTGTCCTGGCACAACCGAATCCTAAATTTGCTTTAATTTATGATCGGAGGAATCTGCATGCCAAATTTGGTAGTCCCAATTCTTACTGTTTAGGAGGAGTTCTTGAACAACCTCACTCACTCACTCGCTCACATACAATCTCTCTCAAATATATAGTAGTCTTAGCACGTTGTTATACTTTGATATGTGGAAACAAAAGATAGACCAAATCCTAGTGAAATTTCCTTCCTTCGATTAGAAAAACAGGGCATTGCCTATAAAATTCTGTTTATTACTGTCCTGCCTTTGATCCATATTTGCAGATGGAAATGGGTTTTGTACTTTCCCTTTCCTCTCATATCCATGTGATATTTATTGTATTTCAGTGATCACATCATCTTCTACCAGGGAGTACACAGTGACAGAACCAGAACGAGATGGGATTTCTCCCTCCTACACTGTAGCCTACCAGTGGCGACAAACCATCTCATTCAAAGAATGCATTCATGATGACTCATATCATGCTGTTTCTGCCACGCAGCAGCTATCAGTCGACAGCGTCTTTGTCCTGTATAATAGGGATGAACAAATTCTGCGATATGCTATGAGCAACTCAATTGGCCCGGTCAGTGGTAAGTATAGTGGTAATTCTTCATTTTCTCTTTTTGGGGCTTGGATTGTGGGAGACAAGCTCCTTTATATTTGAGTTTGCATTAGGTGAATGTTAATGAAATAGATTATATAGATGGGCCAACAGACTCACCAGGCCCCTAGGCAAGGTGTGTGTGTGGGGCGGGGGGGAGGGCTGCTTTGTACTCCTAGAAGGAATGGGGCCTCAGGCAGCCCTTAGCATTACCCAGAGTGCACTACGCTGGCCTATCTCACCCCCCAGCCAGCCCTGTGACTGCCAGGAGCACACCAAGTCAGCAGCCCAGTATAGTTGTGTTATTTACCTGGAATTCAGAAGGTCTATTAACCTTTTTTAACATAGGTCCACAAGGATCTCTTATTAATTGAGCACCTAATACCTATTGACCTTCATGAAAATACCAATTTTTGTATTGTCCTTACTCTAACATCCAGCACTGTCTGGTCTGGCAGGACTACGGTAGCTCCTGAACCAGAGAGCCCAGGAGCCTAATGGCAGGAAGACCATCAGCTCAGTCAGGGTTGGGAGGAGGAAGGGCAACACGGCTGGAGGAGCCCCATAGTAGTGCTGGGGCCGTAGAACCCCAGCAGCCTGCAACAGTGTGGCGCCAGGGAACCTTGGCTGCCCACAGTAGTGTGGAGCCAGGGGCTGGAGAACTCCTTCCACCTGCAGCAGCATGGGGCTGGTTGCAGAAGAAGACTGGCAGCACATGGCAGTGCAGAGCCAGGGAAACCTGGCTATCCTCAGCAGTGCAGGGCTGGAGAAATCCAGCAGAATGCAGCAGTGCATGGCCGGAGAGCTTTAGCCACTCGCACAGTGCGGGGTCGAGGGCAAAGAAGCCTCCGCAGCAGCACAGAACTGGGGGCTGGAGAATCCCAGCCACCCATGGCAGCATGGAGCTGGGGAAACCTGGCCATCCATGGCAGCACGAGGCTAGTGCTGGGGCCCGGAAAACCTTGGCTGCCCATGTCAGCCCGGAGCTGAGGAGAGGGGCAATGGCAGCATAACAAACATGATGGCTAGGGAGGGAATAGAGGGGGACAGAGACAGGGGGCTGGCTGGCACCAAGGAAAACCTCCCTTGGTCCAGCAAATTTCTCATTTGGTCCCGACGGTGCTGGACCAGGGTGGTCCAACCTATAATATATCCATGGAGGGTTTTCAGTTATCTCATGTACATATTACCTTTAAAATGAATAACTTTCTGTCATCAGTGAATCATTTTTTTAAATACTGCATAGAAGCTCAAACCCATTGCTACTAAAATGAACCATGTGCCATTAAACAGAAGTTAGTTTCCAAGACCCATCATTCAGCCAGTCATATAATTTCATTTCTGGACAATGTGCAGTAGCCAATTATACCAAAAGTTTTATTTGACTCAAATGATGAACTTGTTTATATGTATGGTTTTAATTTTTGTTTTAAATCTGAAATTTTTTAAAAAGATTTGTGTGCAAAGTTGATAAATATGGGCACATTTAATGACAAGTTAGTGAAGTTCTTTTTTGCAGGAATTAAATTACGTTTGAATGAAGATAAAATTTGGTGTGTTTAGTTTTTGATAGAAAGTTTATAGGTAGAAATAAGGCATCCATGCCTACTGGAAAAAGAACACCCCCAACTCCAACAAAACAATGCAATTTAGAGACTCAAGAGGAAGGTAACTGTACACGTGATTTGACTTAACCTTGCCTTTTAATTATATATGTGTAATTTTCTGAGGGCTTTTCCTGTGTGAAGTGTTATCTGTATTATTTTTATAATTATCCATGTTCCTTTGTACAGTTTGAACCTTTCTAGTTGAGCACTCTCTGGTCTGGCAACATCCATGGTCCAGCATGATTTTGGTTACCCAGATGTGCACTTACCATGGGTGTGGCCAAGTTTCCCGTGGTCGCATAAAGTTTGTTTGCAGCCACCAATCCTGGCTCTCAGTGTTCTGTGCAGTTATTTAGGTCTAATTTACCCCTAAAAAAATTCTAAGAGCCCAGTAAGCTGTGGAAGTGTTGGTAATGCTGATAGACAATATTGACCTCCTTTGGTCCAGTAAATTCTCTGGTTTGGCACAAATAGGTCCCGGGGGTGCCGGACTAGAGAGGTTCAACCTGTAGAAGTTCTTGGGAAGACCTTGTACTGTCATATTTGAGGTAAAAGGCATGTTTTGAGGTTGACCTAGAAATCAACTATAGACCGCCTTCTCTGATGAGTACATTAGCTCAGAACTGGCACCCTCTCATACAGCACTTATAAGCAACCTCTTCTAAGTCTCTGCCTCAGACCTCCTATTGCTGCAAGAATGTTACATTCAAGCTTACTTTTCAGTTTGGGCAGTAGCTAAGAAACTGTTTGTCAGCTAGTTAAATTTAACTTGGCTTCATTTTAGCTTCTTCTAAATACCATCTCTCTTAACAGATGGTTCTGCTGATATCAGCCGGAATCCTTGCTACACTGGTACCCATGGCTGTGACACCAATGCAGTGTGTCGTCCAGGAACAGGAAATCAGTTCACCTGTGAATGCTCTATAGGCTTCCGTGGAGATGGACGTGCTTGTTACGGTAGGAGAAACGTCGATGCATCAGAATGATTTCTTGTGTAGATTGTCATACATAGAATATATCAACTCTCAAAACCAGCCTTTTTGGCCTAAACTATTAAAGCATTATTTTAATCTTGCTTGGAATATGGTTCTGTAAAGCTCTCTAAGGCGCTCTTATTCTTTCACAATGTGTTTTGTACAATGCCTCACACTAAGGATTCCAAAGGTGATTGGAGTCTGAGTGCTGCTATTGTACAAAAAAAATTCAATACTACATTTTAATTTTTTTTCCCCCCACTATGCATTTTTTCATAGTAGCGGAAGAAGACCATTCAAAATAATTACATAGACTCTTTCCTTAGTTTATGTGTATATTAGAATTTCATAATGGTTGACAGAAATTTTGTAATATATTTACCTTTTAAAACCCAACACGTTTATTTCTCAGCTACCAATCCTACATGCATAGCATCTTCCAAAAAATACTGCTTTTTTCTGTTCACAGACAGCCTATAACAAATGCTTCAGTGACCTTAATCAAAGCAGTTGATATTGAAATCAATAGCAGTTTGTTGTCTTCAAAAGGCCCAGTCCAGAATCCAATCTTTGTTATTTTATGCAGTAGGCTTAATTAGTAATGGAAGCTGTCATGTTATTGGATTCTAAAGATCACTGTTGCACCCATGGGGGTGGAGTGTTTGCCCCAAAAGTGTGTACATAGGGGTCGTGTGAGGTATTAAATGAAAGTACTCATTCATGTACTCATTCAAGTCAATGAGTTCGTAACTTGGGGACCGGCTGAATTGGATTCTAAAGATCACTGTTGAACCCAGGGTGTGGGGGGGTGTTTGCCCCAAAAGTCTGTACAAAGGGGGTCTGTACAAAATGAAAGCTTATGTTCTACTGATTCTGTATATGCTATTCATGTACTTGTATAATATCTGTATGTGGAGTTATAAATATGTACTCTGTTTTGATTCTGGAAAATTCTCTGTCTGAGACAGAGCAATGGGCAAAGAATGTTCAGCCAGTGGCTATGCTAATTAGCAAGGAAACAATGAATTTCTAGGTGCCAATACACACCTGAGGAATGTGACTGATACCTGCAAACCAGCGAGGGCATAATGGCTGCCAGCATGTGAAACAGAGATAGGTCGCTCGACCACGTGACCTGCTTTGGCCAGAAGGATGCCAGGAGAGGTATATAAGTGCCATGTGGCAACGTCCATCTTGTCTTTAGTTCAACTCCTGATCCCAGATGCAGCCTTGCAGGGAACAACGAGCTGGAAAGAACCGTGGACCCATCCTGACATAGGATGTACATCAGAGATTTATAAGATATCAGTTTATAACATCTCTGCTAAGAGCCTGCACTGAGAACTTGGTGATTTGATGCATGTAATGAATTCTCCTTAACAACCTTACTCTCATGCTTTTCTTTCTCTCAGTAATAAACCTTTAGATTGTAGATTCTAAAGGATTGGCTCAGTTGATCTTGTGGGTAAGATCCAGGGTGTAAATTGATTGGGACCTGTGGCTGGTTTCTTGGGACCGGAAGAACCCGTTCGGGGTAGGTGAGATTGGGTTCTACAACCTCTCACCTGTGTGCAGGCCCGGGGCTGATAGGGGCACAGGAAAAGCTGGGTTGTCAGAGGGGTTTTGCTTGTGAGGCTTCTGGCTGGCCAGATTGGCAGCTGGCGTGCTCGGCATGACTGGTTTGTGACCTGTTTGGAAGGTCTCCAGTCTGGGGCTGTAAGGAGCACCGAGTTTTGAGCTATTTGCCCTGAGCGGAAGCCCTCAGCTGTGCCCAGACCTGTCCCGGTCCGTCTCAGTGACGTAGTCGGCAGGATCCACAGATCTTGGTCATTTAAGCTTTGGATCAGGACCCCACGCTGTTCTAAATTTGATTTTTGGTATTGAGAGTTTGTTTGGTTAAAGAGTGGCTGCAATGAATCAGCAACATTGTGAAAGTCTGGACAGAGCGGCTCTGGAAGCCTTGTGCTTGGAGGGAGGCATTGCCTTTAGTGAGGAAGCTTCTAAGCCAGAACTGAGGTCTTTGTTAGTGGCCAGAAATGCTGCAGAAGAAATGAGATTGCAGGATCCAATGAGAAGAATGCAACTTAAATATAAACAAGAACTGGAGGAATTTTCGTCTGCTAGCTGAGCAGAGAAGGCAGAAGCTAGATCAAGAACATTCAAGGAGGATGGCAGAGTCAGACGGATGAATCAGACAAGACAAGGGGAAAACTGCCAGACTTGAACTTCAGTTTAGGAGAATAGAAGAAGAAAAGAGACTGTATCTTCCTGGGAGTTCGATATATAACCGTGTGGGTTTGTGGTGTGACCGTGACATGGCAGATGTTTTTAACCCAGCTGATGTTGTAACCCAGCCCGAAAGCATGTATGAATGCAACTCTTCAGTATTACCTGTAGCTAACAGGGAGTTTTATGAAGGAGGTGCATGTGATTCTGGGCAGTTGTCTGTGGCTAGTGGATCCTACTATAACCAGTGTCTCTAAGGGTATGTCTAGACTACATGCCTCTGTCGCCAGAGGCATGTAAATTAGACATAGTCGATGAAGTGGGGATTTAAATATCCCCCGCTTCATTAGAATAAAAATGGCCGCTGCGTTGTGCCGGCTCAGCTGTTTGTTGGCACAAACCAGCAGTCAAGACGGGGATCGGTCAGCAAGGAAAGCCTTTGCCGACCAATCCCTTATGCCTCGTGCAACGAGGTTTACAGGATCAGTCAGCAAAGGCTTTCCTTGCCAACCGATCCCCGTCTTGACTGCCGGTTCATGCCGACAAACAGCTGAGCCGGCACAACGAGGCGGCCATTTTTATTCTAATGAAGCGGGTGATATTTAAATCCCCACTTCATTTACTATGTCGGGTAGTCTAGACATACCCTAAATGTTTGCCTGAGGGAGATAGTTGTGTGTCTCTGTGAGTGAGGGTTTTGGGTGCCTGTCTGATGTCTCAAGGGTGAGGCTGGAGTCAGAAGCAGGGCAGGGGGACCCCAGGACTCAGGGCAACGCTTCCCTGGAGCAGGTTGCAGGGGATGGCCAGAGATTCCTCACTGTGGAACAAGATAAAGTTCTGAAAGGTGATAGATCATTAGCTGGTGATGCTTGTGAGTCTGAACCTGCACAAGCTGGAAGTGAGTTGTGTGATGGAGCACAGTGTGAGCAGCCACAGTGTGTGCAAGCTGGCAGTTTGGCTGCTGAGAAGAGCAGTGTGTCAGTGAAAGAAGCTGTCTCAGTCGCTAGCTGTGTGCCTGAGAATAGCCAGGGGTGTTGGGACAAGGGAGAGACTGTCTCTAGGGGTATGTCTACACTACCCCACTAGTTCGAACCAGCGGGGTAATGTAGGCATACCGCACTTGCAAATGAAGCCCGGGATTTGAATTTCCCGGGCTTCATTTGCGTAAACTGGGCGCTGCCGTTTTTAAATCCCTGCTCGTTCAAACCCAGTGCCGCGCGGCTACACGCGGCACAAACTAGGTAGTTCGGACTAGGCTTCCTAGTCCGAACTACCGTTACTCCTCATGGAATGAGGGTCCTTGCAGTGCTTTTAGCAAGCAGTTGGCAGTGACTGAGAGAGATGACAGTGCCTTGCTTGGAGAAGGCCTTCAAGGGAAAGCTCTGCCTGTAAAAGGCAACAGTTTGATGTATGCGATACTTGTTTCAGTGCCTGATGGTCAGAATTTGTCTGTTAACAGTGACTCCACTGACTTGGATCTAGAAATATCCAATGTGGAGGATTGTGGAGAGGTCTCAGAGGGACTGAGGATTGTTACAAATGAGGCAGGAATCAAGTGACTGTGTGACCAGCTTGCTGGGAAGTCAGGGTTTTTGGGACAGGATTGTTCCCAGGTTGAAGATGAGAGTGGACAGTGTGTGTGTCAGGTTCATGGGAAGGACTATGTAGACAAGTATGCAGAGCAGTACAGCTCTGTGGTTACTCTCTCTATAATACAGGAAACGGCAGTTAAGCTCCCATCTCTGGACACTGTGGACACTTGTAATCGATCAGGGAATTTGATATCTGGTTCCATGTGGAAACAGAGGTTAGAGATGGAAGGATGAGAGATTTGTGAGTCTACCGCTTATTGTTGTTACCCCACTGATTGGGGGAAGGAGAGAATTCCATGGCCATTGTGGGCAAGGGAGACACACCCAGACAGCCCTTTGTCTTTGTCAAGCCAGGTTTTGAGCCCACAGGACAGGGGAAAGGGCAAAACTTGCTTTGGCAAAGGAAAATCACAGTTTAAACCTGAAGGGCCAAAACTACAATGGTATGGAGCCAAAAATGTGGCATGAGAGAAAATACTGTCAGTGTACACTGGATATGGATTTGTTCCTATTACTCATATTAACTTTTGTAACCAGTGTGCTGTGGTTACCGAAAATTGTAAAAATATACAATGTGTGTGATGTTTTGGAAAAACCATGGCACCTGTCAATAAATGTACCAAATGACAAACTGTATGTTAAAAGACCTTAGAATGTTGATATTTCATGGTTGATACCTGTAACTTATCTGGGAACTTCTTACAGGAAAAAGGTTCTGGCCAGAAGGTGCTGTGTGGAAAGGGAAACTGAGGCACACTTCCATTTTGTTTTCATGGCTAAGGCCAAGATGCCTACACTGTGGGGGATGAGAATACCTACATTAACACAATGTTAATTTGACTGCAGCGAGTTGCCAGAGTTGGGATGGATACATTTACTATTTTCTTTGGCTCTGGGCAAGATCACATGATACACATGGGGATCCTGCTGCAAAAGCAGATCCAATTAGCCATGGTTTTTACCAAGTTTTACCTTGGGTTTGTAAAACAGTGCAAGGACATGGTTGTTGCTGTGATAGGCCTTGCAATGAGGAAGCCTATTTTAGTCAAATTTGGTTTTCATACACTTGTCTAGTTCTGTACTGTGGTTTCTAATTTTGTATTAGAACGTGTAATAACACAGAGCCAAGATATGGGGAGGCCTGTGATGCCCCCAGTGATGTTACTGGCATCACTTCCTGCATCAATTTTGTGTTGGGGGTGTCACGTTACAGCCGGTCCCCGACTTACGAACGAGTTACATACCAAACACTAGGTCTTAACTCGATCTTTTCGTGAGACGGCTTACATTCACTTACGAATGGCCGTGCTGTTTGTAAGTGCGGATTTTGTTCGTACCTCGGGGACTGGCCGTATAGGAGATTGATCATAAATACGAACAGTCGTAAGTCAATGAGTTTGTAACTCGGGGACCGGCTAAATTGGATTCTAAAAATCACTGTTGCACCCATGGCGGGCAGGGGGTCTGTACAAAGGGGGTCGTGTGAGGTGTTAAATGAAAGCTTATGTTCTACTGATTCTGTATATGCCATTCATGTACTTGTATAATATCTATATGTGGAGTTATAAATATGTACTCTGTTTTGATGCTGGAAAATTCTCTGTCTGAGACAGAGCGATAGGCAAAGAATGTTCAGCCAGTGGCTATGCTAATTAGCAAGGAAACAATGAATTTCTAGGTGCCAATACACACCTGAGGAATGTGACTGATACCTGCAAACCAGCAAGGGCATAATGGCTGCCAGCATGTGAAACAGAGATAGATCGCCCGACCATGTGACCTGCTCTGGCCAGAAGGATGCCAGGAGAGGTATATAAGTGCCATGTGGCAACGTCCATCTTGTCTTCAGTTCAGCTCCTGATCCTAGATGCAGCCTTGCAGGGAACAACGAGCTGAAAAGAATCATGGACCCATCCTGACATAGGATGTACATCCGAGATTTATAAGATATCAGTTTATAACATCTCTGCTAAGAGCCTGTACTGAGAACTTGGTGATTTGATGCATGTAATGTATTCTCCTTAACAACCTTACTCTCATGCTTTTCTTTCTTTTAGTAATAAACCTTTAGATTTTAGATTTTAAAGGATTGGCTCAGGGTGATCTTGTGGGTAAGATCCAGGGTGTAAATTGATTGGGACCTGTGGCTGGTTTCTTGGGACCGGAAGAACCCGTTCGGGGTAGGTGAGATTGGGTTCTACAACCTCTCACCTGCGAGCAGGCCTGGGGCTGATGGTTTTGCTTGTGAGGTTTCTGGCTGGCCAGATTGGCAGCTGGAATGCTCAGAGTGACTGGTTTGTGATCTGTTTGAAAGGTCTCCAGTCTGGGGCTGTAAGGAACCCTGAGTTTTGAGCTATTCGTCCTGAGTGGATGTCCTCCGCGGTGCTCAGACCCCGCCCGGTCTGTCACAGATGCCAGTTTGGGGATATGTATGAAGATGAAGTGCAGTTGTACAATTATAGTGCAGTTTGCACCAATCAACAGGGTCTGGACAAACTGTGTTACAACATGATTGAGCCACAATAGAGTTAATTAATCATTGTGAAATTAATTTGTTTGGGCTGTGTAGTCTGTCTCCATTCCTCTTGGTTCACTGGATCCTTATGCCGTCTAAGCTGTTGTTGACTGGGAAAACATGGGCTAATAGCCAATACTATAAGAGTTTTTCTAGAGTAAAGAAAAGTTGTGGTATCTCTAATACTACTTGGGGTAAATGTAGAAAAATAGTTAGTTTCAATGTGCAGTCCAAAATCTTTGCAACTGTCCTGATTTTTTTTTTAAGCCCAGGCCAGCCACTGTAAACATTGCATTGTAAGGCTTAAGAAATTTTCCCTCTCATCTTTTATAACAATGGTCTTTGGATTACACTTGCTTTCTGGCTCTGATAACATTTTCACTTCCAGAAACTATTAAATGTGTAATTATGTAATTTTAAAAGTGTGTCTCATCCTCCTCCTCTTGGTTAATAATTAAATATATCTGTCTGGGCTGTTCCACTGCCCACGTCCTCCGTGGCTTTGCTCCGTGTCTCCCTGGTCTGCTGGGGGGAGCCTCCCCCCAGCAGACCAGGGAGACGTGGAGCAAA